AGAATTTCGGTTCTTCCCCCGCTCCGCCCAAAGTAATGCCTGAATTGCTAGCAACGGTAATTTGAAATTTGAGAGTTATTGTTAACAAGCTAGCATTCTTTTTACATGACTACCCAGCAGCGTGTTGCAGTGCGGGGTAATTTATTCTCAGGGTAATTTATTCGCGGGTGTTTTAATCGGCAAATGAGTAAACCAGTTTTTTTTTAAAATTTTGATCTGAGTGCCTAACACAGCAGCACCATTTGCGCGGCATAATCAGTAGTAAGGTATGCACGATAGGATGCTAATTATTTTTCCCCGTTAAAAATATTAGCCATGGATGAATGACATTTTACAGATGGATATTTTGGTGAGAATGTATGGTTTTTGTTCCCCACTCCCTCTTGGGATGATGTGCAAATGTATTTCTCTATCTGCTTTAACTACTTTCCAAACTGTAGCCCTTTAAAGCTTCTCAAGTCTAGTTTTTGTATTTTTTTAAAAAACTGCTCTTTTCTTTGCCTGTGCAAGCTCAAAATTTTGTCCTATTAGAAACCTCTAATTTTCATCTACAGTTCATTCTTCTAAAAAGATCCCTTCTGTATTCTTTCCTATAATTTATCTTAACTGTCTTTTTCTTTTCTCCTAGTTCTCCTTGGAATTTTCTGCAATCTGTAGCAATGTGTACATAGTGGTTCATCTTTAGAAAATAGAAAATGCATCAGCTGTAGGTATAAATACTTTCCTTGGAAAAGGGGAAACCCGTGTGAGAGGAATGGGAGTGAAAACAGGTAAAACCCTGTTCTCCTTACTCATGTAAATAGTTTCATTCATTCAATGGGATTACTTGTCTAGGTAGAGCAAACAGGATTGGACCCTATCCGTTTTATTAAATGAATGCAGGTAGCCTGGTAAGAGAATACACTGGAAACTGCATTTCTATGATTTATCTTTCAGCTTAGAAGAAATTTTTGAATGCTTTCCGAATTTGCTAAAAGTGGTTATCTCCTTAAGCTGTGTGAAGGAATACCAGTCATAACACACAGCAGAGCTTTGCATTTTCTTTTCCCCCTTCGATCTGTTCTTTTGGAATTGCTCTTAAAGTTTCAAACGAGCTAGCTTTGAAGGATACTAGACATGTCAGAGGAGCAGGGCTTGCTTGTCTGCGTCCAGGAACTCATACTGAATGTGCCTGACGGCACAGAGCTAAGCCTCTGTGGTGTAGTGACTTCAGTAGGAGCTGACAGTGTACAGGGTCTGTGTGAACTGCTCGGCACCTGGCGGGACTGGCTTCAAACAGAGCCCCTTGTACAAACAGTTTTAATGTTTCTCTGGTGTGGCTTCATTCCTAATGCTGCTTTGTTGTTTTAGGTTATCGTCCTATGCCAACAGACCCTTACCTGGGAGGGAATTCACCCTTGCCACCCCCTGTAAGTGACAGGATGAGAAAGAGACGGGCTTTTGCTGATAAAGAGTTGGAGAACATTATGCTAGAGAGAGAGTATAAAGAGAGAGAGATGATGGAAGCTACACAAGCAGCTGCCCTTTTTTTCCCTAACCGTATGGTGCGTGGAGCTGAATACAACTCCTATAAAACAGCCTTCAACACTACTCAAGTTGATACTCCAAACAAGGAGTTCTGCAATTTTTTACCAACCTGCCTTGATCTAACCATGCAGTATTCAGGATCCACCAACATGGAACTAATTTCTTCAAATGTTAGTGTAGCTGCTACCTACAGGCAGTATCCTCTGTCTTCTAGGTTCTTAGTGTGGCCAAAATGTGGCCCTATTAGTGATGCTCTCCTCTACCAGCAATGCCTGTTAAACACTACTACTGTTCAAGCTCTCAAACCTGGGGCAGGTTGGGATGCCAAGGTCTCACAAAATCAGGACTGTCCAAACACTGAGCACGACATCATGCTTCCAAAACTGGAAAATTCACTCATCCTGACTCACACGCCAGACATTCAGCAGTCACGTAACGAGATACCATGCCTTCCTCAGGAAGCTCGTGAGAGGTCAGCCTTCTCTCCTCCAAAAAGGACTTTCTCGCAGGTTTCTGATAAGGATTCTCTGTCTCCTCAGGAATATGCATTAAGCAAGATCAGCAAAAACAGCACCAAACCCCTTCCACCACTCAAATACAATCCATTTCAGTCAGTGTTCCAGCAGACATTTCCTGACAGACCAGGAGCAGAATTAAGAGCAACAGTTGTGAAAGAGACTTTTGACGATGCTTCTAAGAAATACAGAGAGTGTGCTATTAAAGAGAACCAAAAATGCAAGCTTACTGAGGATGAATGTACAAAAGACTTGTTTGGGGCCAAACAGACCACAACAAAATTTTCAGCAACTGAGCCCCTGTCATTTTCAGTTGAATCCATCCTTAAACGACCTTCTTCTGGAGGTAACAATGTCTCTCAATGAAAAAAGTATACCTTCGGAGTAGAGAGTTTGTAAGTTTTGCCTTCTGCAGAATTGTTACTGCCTGCCTTATCTCTTAAAAGACTTTAAAAGAGGAATTTCTGCTGAAAATGGTAATTGTTTCTTTTGTCTCAAAATGATAGACATAAATATGCATGTTTTCTCTTCTGAAAAAAGTATATTTGATTGCTTAAAATTGAAACCGCATGTATAGACTGTAAAACATGGTTATTTTAAGCAGCACTTCAAACCATTCAATAAAAAGGGTTTACTTACAAGCATAGACTGATCTGTCTTGTCTCTCTCATCTCACAGACAAGTATGCCCTACTTTCAGCATATACTTCTTTTTTTGTCTGCCGTTATCCATGTACTTACTATTTATGTTGCTGAGGTGAGTGGTCAGTTCTGCTTTGAAGATCCAGTAGCTGTGAGTGCAAGACTTTATTCACCGAAGTGAGGTTTGAATCAGATTCTATATGTCTTTCTTTTTCTGAAGGAGGAGTACATGCTAGTGCAAAGGACTAGTTTATTCCACATATCTCTATAAAACCTGCTGTTTCTAAAGTGGAAGTGTTTCTAGATTGATTTTGAGGGGAATGGCTCTAATGAGCTTCTGCATAAAATGTTAACATTGTTTAAAGTTCACTTTAAACAATGGTTTTTAATTTTTATATAATTTTTTTTAATGTTCAACTCAGTTTGGATTTACACACCCTGAAACACTTCTCTTCTGAAAACATTGCATCTTTGACCAGCAAGAGCCTGAGATTCTTGTTTTGTGGTAATAGAAATGACCCTCATGTTGTAAAAATGATGCACAGAGTCATAGCTGCTAATGAGAAATCAAGTAATAACCTCTCAGTTTTTTAATTCTGTGTCCTTGTTCAGGGATGGCAGAAAAGGAGAATAACCAGTAGAATTTATCTAAGAACCTGAAATGGCCTCAGGGCAGTAGGAAAAGGCATTGCCTGCTCTCATCATGACAGAGCTTGAAGCTTTTTAAATTAATGATCTTGTAAGTTTTCCCCTGTATTTTACTGCTAGCACATCTAGTGTTAACAGCAATCCCTTGGTTGCTTTCTTTTCCTTAATATTTTAGTCCTGCAGACAGTGCTCATTCAGCCAAAAGGAGCTGTGGTTTGTTCTTAATTTTTGTTATTTTTTGTTTGGTATTTGTGAGCACAATGTAATAATTTCTAATTTTATTACACTTGCTGCACAAGTTAAATGCTTTTTTTGCCATTTAATTTCTGATTCTATAAGTATTTCTCAAAGTGTTTAGTGTTTCTGTTGGGATTGGTGTTGCTGAATAGCAGGACCCCTTTCATGGATGGGAGGAGTTGTCTGTCCTGAGTGCTTTTCTAAGCCAATTTGTTAAAGCAACAGACGTGGTGAAGAAAACATATTTTATGTAATGTGTAAATTTTTACGTAACACGTCTTACAAAGCACATAAAAATTTTATGTCAGGACTGTAAAAAAAATGTGTTGCAGTTTAAAAGAATCCTGAGCACTGACTAAAGTTTCACTTTCCAAAAGCATTCATACTAACTGTGTTTTTCTTAGCAAAAAATAAGTTTCAAATGCGATGAGATGCTTTTCCTTTCTTCAAACTCTGTCCTTTATCCAGTTGCCATTAGAGGGAGTTTTAACTTACTAGAGAGCTGAATCTGCCTGTTAAATCAGTTTAACAGTCAGACCAAGCTAATCAGCTTTTACCTGGTATAATGGAGAGAAATTCTTCATATTTCATATTTGTTTGCTTTCACCACTGCTTCCTTCTTTGGCTTAGTTGAACATTAAGTGCTAACAAGGGGGTTCAATTTAAGCAGGGTTTCCTTTGTTTTTAAAAATAAGGTTTGTTTTTTTTCCCAAGGTGCTGGCATAAACTAGGATCACAGATGAATAAGAGTTCAGCAATCTATGTACTGAACCAATACTGGATGCTGCAATTAGTCCCACATAAATGTTTTTTTGCCTGACAGTGTGTGCATCTAACGTTATTTAATTTTACATCTGAAATATTTTTCCAGGAAGTCACTTGTCTTTATTCATCTGCTAAAACAAAAAAAGACCATAAAACCAAAACCCTCTGATAGTCTGGTACCTCTTGACCATTTTAAGAACCAATTGAACTCAACAAATTCAAACTCTGAACATTTACTAAGCATTTATATGTACACACATACACACATGTTGTGGTTTAACCCCAGCCAGCCACTAAGTACCAGGCAGCTGCTCACTCACTCCCCCACTCTCCCTGCGGTGGAGAGGAGAATCAGAAAAAAAAAGTGAAACTTTTGAGTTGAGAAAGAAGAGTTTACTAATTGAAACAAAATGTAATAACAACTTTAACAATAGTAATGAAAAGGAGAAAGATAGAGGAATAAAACCCAGGAAGAACAAGTGATGCAGAGTACAATGACTGATGCCTAGCCTGTCTATTAACAGTGATCAGCTACTGGACATGGCATTCTATGGTGTGGCACAGCCCTTTGACCAGTTCAGGTCAGTTGTCCAGGCCATGCTCCCTCTCGGGTTCTGGTGTACCTGCTCGCTGGCAGAACATGAGACACAGAAAGGTCCTTAGGCTAAGCACTACTGAACAACAACTAAGACACTGGTGTGTTATCAACATTATTCTCATATTAAAATCAAAACAGAGCACTGTACCAGCTGTTAAGAAGAAAATTAACTCTATCCCAGCCAAAACCAGGACAACACACTTTTATATATTCATGTGTTCCAAGTTGTTTATTCAAATTACTGTCATCAGAAGATGATTAACATTTTTATTAGTATTTGAAAAAATCTGACCCTTGAGATGAGACCTGGACAAATTGCTTGCTTCACTTAACAAATTAGTTTCACTGGAGTCAGCATTTGGCTGCTCTTTCTTACTGTCCCTTGCTCATGTCTTGCTTCAGTTCCACAAGCTATTTCACCCAGTACTTAGTTTCTTTGCATTTCATAGATCTTAGCCCTTATCACCTCTTATGCATCTTGAAAACTTGTTGCACTCAGATAGTTTTTTCCTTTCCTTTGTTACAAATATGTATAAAGTCTATTAGTCATGGCGGGTGATGATTAGCAGCTAGAGCAAGATAGTGTATACTCAGACAGCATATGATTTTCCTCACACATCTTTGCAGTGATTGTATAGTGCTCTTGCCTCTCTTAAGTCATAAACTTCTCTAGAACAGAAGTAGCCAGTTGTCCACATCTGCTGGTGTAGCTGTGCAAACTCATGGAGAAGAGAAGTCATTGCTCTGAAATTGTCTAGTGCTTACTGCAAGGTAGTGTCTTTCTGGAAATAAGTCAGCAGTTAAAATAGCTTATGCTCCCCCATGATTTCTGTTTCTTAAATGCAATTTCTGTGGAATTTATTGAGTGTGTGGATGTCTTTATCTATTGTATGGCACACCTTTTTTTTGCACATTTGTGCTATGCTTATGAGTGTCATGCTGCATTTCCCTTCCGTTCATAGTTTTTCCTATGTCATGGTGGAACGTGCTTGTTGGGAAGCTCAGCTTTGGGGTTTGCCAGGAGGCCAGAAACCTAAGCTGAGTGTGTAGCATGAAATAGTTGTGGAAAGTAGTACGAAGAACAGTTATTCATTTGGTCTGTGAAATAGTGTGTCTGTGCAATGGCATAGTCAGAGACAATCAGCTACTTGTTGGAAGCTTGGACCTTCCATATGGAGGCCAAGACAAAAATTTCATAGGTATATAGAGGTGCATAAATGTCGACAGCTAGAGAAACTGAGAATTAATACTACTCCAGGCAGTGCCTGGCTTACTGCCTGGCCTTACTTCCCTGGACCAGGGGAGGTAAAGGTCAGCAGCATCTTCCTGTAGGGCTTGAGTGGGTTCACTTGGAGAAGAGATACGTTATTGACACCTGCTGCAGTGACAGTGCTTGTCCCTCATATGGCACATGAAAATTGAGATGGGGGCTGAGAGGAGTGGGGGGAGCGTCCCTGCTCAATAGGGCGTGTTGCTAGCTGTCTCTCAGGTGCTGGCTTTTAAGAGGTGACTGCACAAGTACTCACATCTTGCACAAAGTCTGCCTTAAAACTGTCCTTTGTCTTCAATAACAGCAAACTGAGCTGCTGGGCTTGAGGTAGGTCAAGGCACAGAGTTTGATGAGATGGTGGGATAATCAGCAGCTGGTGTCAAGACGGTGCTTGTGAAATCCTCAGCTGAATGCCTTTGCATTCTGGCCTGAGAATAAGACTTCGCCCTGTGCTGTCTGCTTGCTCTCCTGCTATGCCAAAGACTTCTCTGAGTTTTGCAGCCTGAACTTCTCATCTCCTTGGGGTCATAAAAGCAAGTCACTTTCTGGCCAGCTGTGAAGGAACAAGTCCTTGTAGAGATAATGACTCTAAAGCCTGAACATTAATCAGCTCTGAGTTGCTATTGTCCTGGAATTACAGATTTTGACACTGGCTCAGTTTCTTTATTTTAGGTGTAGAACAGAGAGGTATGTTCCCATTTTGATTTGACAGCTTGTTTGCATGACCAAGCCTTTCAGTTCCTGTACCCAACACTTCTTTTCAGGTGACCTTGATGTGAAAGCTGGCACCAGGAGTCATCGCCCATGATGTGTGAGATTCTCACTGTATCACTAAGTTACTTCTCTGAATTTCTGCCAGCTGAACAGCATAAAGTACACATAATGCCTCCTTTAACTCAGACAGTAGTGATCAGACATTTTCTGTTTGCTTGCATTGAAACCAGGACAAACTGTGGCTTATGCAAGAAGGCCTGCTGGGGAAGCATGTGTGGACAGGTGGAAAACAGTAG